AAGGTCAGAGAAACAATCTCAATGAAAAAGCCACGGTTAAACAAATCATTGCTGAAAAGTTCCCTGAGCTGGACAATGCAGCCATTCAGATTCAGGCAGCCTGAAGGGTGCCAGCTAGTATAGACCCTAACAAAAACACTCCAAGACATATCATAGTTAGAATGATCGATGCCACAGATAGAGAAACAATACTGCAAGCAGCAAGGTCAAAGAAGGAAATCACATACAAAGGAGCACCCCTTAGATTCACAGAAGACCTATCAGAGGAAACCTTACAAGCATGAAGGCAATGGTGGGATATAGTGAAAAAACTCACTGAAATGAACACTTCACCAAGAATACTCTATCTGGCTAAACTCTCACTCAAACTCAAAGGAATGGTACACTATTTTGTGGAATAACAGCAATTCAGGAAGTTCATAGACTCAAAACCAAATCTAAGAAAAGGTCTAAAGGGGCTACGATAAGACAAGACAAACCCTACAAGCACAACATATCCTTACAGAAAAATGACACAAAACCCCATAACAATAATCTCTCTCAACGTCAACGGTCTAAATTCACCAATTAAGAGACACAGAGTGGCAAAATGGATTCAGAGACAGAACCCAATATTCTGCTGCCTACAAGAAACTTATCTCAACAGTCAGATCAAACACAGACTCAAAGTGAAAGGATGGAAAACAATCCTGCAAGCAAACAGCTCCTTCAAAAAAGCTGGGGTGGCCATACTAGTATCCAACAACATTAACTATAGGTTGAAAAAGATTAGAAGGGACAGCGAAGGCCATTTTCTAATCATCAAGGGATACATACAACAGGAGGAAATCATACTCTTAAATGTATACGCACCTAAAGAGGGAACAGCTAAATATTTAAAACAACTGCTAACAGATTTTAAGGAGGACATTACTAGCAACACAATAGTAGCTGGAGACTTCAACATCGCCTTATCACCTCTAGATAGATCAACAAAAACAAAACTCAGCAAGGAAACACTGACTTTGAGGGAAGAAATAAAGAGAGAGGGCTTACAGACCTATACAGGGCTTTACACCCCAAAAAGAAAGAATACACATTCTTCTCCAGTGCACACAGAACATTTTCCAAAATAGACCACGAGCTAGGCCACAAAACACACCTCAACAGAATCAAGAAGATAGAAATAGTGTTAACAATCTTTTCAGACCACAATGCACTGAGAATAAAGTGAATCACACACAGACACGGAGAGACCCACATCAAACACCTGGAAATTAAACAACTCAATGTTGAACAAGTGGGTCAGAAGGGAGTCAAAGACGAAATCAAAGGATACCTAGAAACAAATGAGAATGAAGACAGGAGCTACCAGAATCTATGGGATGCAGCTGAAGCCGTGTTAAAGGAGAAATTTATAGCTCTGCAAGCATTTCTCAGGAAGGAAGAAAGGGCCCACATAAACAACTTGACTTCACAGCCCTAGAGCTCAGAAAAGTACCAACAACAGGAGTCCAAACCAGGCAGAAGGAAAGAGATTATAAAACTTAGAGCAGAAATCAACAGAATGGAAACCAAAAAGAAAAACAATCCTAAAGATCAATGAAACCAAGAGCTGGTTCCTCAAGAAAATAAATAAGGTAGATAAACCACTAGTAAGACTCACAAAGAAAGAGACAGAACCCTAATAAAATGAATCAGAAATGAGAAGGGGGATATCACAACAGACACCGAAGAAATTCAAAAGTTCACCAGAGACTACTTTGAAAGTCTCTATGCCATGAAATGAGAACCTAAAAGAAATGGATAAATTTCTGGATTCCTATAATCTCCCAAGGCTGAATCAAGAAGATCTAGAGTACCTGAACAGACCTATTAACATCAAGGAAAATGAAACTATAATCAAAAGTCTTCCCAAAACCAAAAGCCCAGGTCTAGATGGATTCACTAGCGAATTTTTCCAAACATTTAAAGAGGACCTACTGCCAGTTCTTCTCAAGCTTTTACAGGAAATTGAAAAAACATAAACTCTCCCAATCAGTTTCCTTGAAGCCTGTATCTCTCTAATACCAAAAGGAAACAAAGACAATACGAGAAAAGAAAACTACAGGCCGATATCCCTGATTAACAAGGATGCGAAGATTCTCAACAAAATACTAGCAAATAGAATTCAACAACTCATCAAAAAGATCATACACCATGACCAAGTGGGATTCACCCTAGGGATGCAAGGATAATTTAACATTTGAAAATCAATCAACATAATCCATCACATAAACAAAAGAAAATATAAAAACCATATGTTCACATCAGTACATGCAGAGAAAGCATTTGACAAGATCCAGCACCCGTTTATGATGAAAACCCTCGCCAAAATGGGGATAGAGGGGACTTTCCTCAATATAGTTAAAGCCATCTACCACAAGCCTACAGCAAGCATCATCCTCAATGGGGACAAACTGAAAGCCTTCCCTCTAAGATCAGGGACGAGACAAGGATGCCCAATCTCTCCACTGCTGTTCCACATACTACTGAAAGTACTTGCAATAGCGGTTTGGCAAGAAAAAGATATTAAGGGCATTCAGATAGGAAAGGAAGAAATCAAGCTCTCACTATTTGCAGATGATATGATACTATACTTAGAGAACCCTAAAACCTCTACCAAGAAATTCCTAGAAACAATAGACTTGTATAGTAAAGTTGCAGGCTATAAAATCAATACCCAGAAGTCCATGGCTTTCCTACATGCAAATAGTGTGAGAGAAAAAAGTGACATGAAAAAAACAATCCCGTTCACAATTATGCCCCAGAAAATCAAGTACCTAGGAATCAGCTTATCTAAGAAAGTAAAAGACCTGTACAAAGAAAACTACAAAACGCTACTTCAGGAAATAAAAGAGGACACAAAAATGGAAAGATATCCCATGCTCATGGATCGGGAGAATTAATATTGTCAAAATCAAGATGTTTTTAAAAGACATACGGTTTCAAAATTTATTTGATTTTAACTATCCTAAGATAAGTTCTTCCTACCACTATTTTTTTTTCCTTTTTGGGTCACACCCGCTGATGTTCAAGGGTTACTCCTGGCTCTGCAGTTAGGAATCACTCCTGGCAGTTTTTGTGGGACCATATGGGATGCTGGGAATTAAACCCAGGTCGGCCACGTGCAAGGCAAATACCCACTGTGCTATCACTCTAATCCCTCTTTTGCTCAGTTTTTATCAGGAATAGGTGTTGAATCTTGCCACAAGCTTTCTCTGAATCTGTTGATGAACTACTTTTATCTTTCCTTTCATTGACACAGTATATCACATAAATTGATTTGCACTTATTGAATCATCCTTATATCCCTGGAATGAACTGCACTCAGTTGTACTGTATGATTTTTTTGGTACATACTGAAACTGGCACGTGCTCATAAGGTATAATTTTCTGTTGTAATAGTATCTCTGCCTGTTTTTAGTATTAGGTAATACTGTATTTAGGTAATAATATTGTTACCATATTATATATATTTTATCTATAATAATATTATATATTACATATCATATAATGATAGAGTAATAATACTGTTTTTATATTAGGGTAATAATAGCCTTGTACAAATTTTTAGGAAGAATTCTTGATTCTTCAATTTTCTGCAAAGAACTTAGGGAGGTAGCCTATATCTTCTTTGAATGTGTGGCAGAATTCACAAGTGAACCAATATCGATCTAAGCTTCTTTCTGCTCTAAGTACATTTTAAATGGCTATTTCAATTTTCTTCCTTGAGATAAATCTTTTCAGATTTTTCACTTTCTTGTGATTCAGTCTTAGTAGGTTATATGATTCTCAAAATTCATATTGGTTCTCCAGCTTAGTGGTATAAAGTTGACAACAGTAACCTGTTATGATTTTTTGTATTTCTGAGGAAGCTATTGTTATTGCTTCCTTTTCATTTCTGATCCTATTTGGGATCCTTTATTTTCCACTCATGAGTCTAGCTAAAGGTTTGTCATTCTTGGTACATCATTTGAAAAAAAAAACAATCTCCTGGTTTTACTGACCTTTGTATTATTTTCTTGATTTATCTGCCACTGATTCTGATGTTATGTCGTTATGGCCTTACTACAACTTACTTTACAATTCACTTCTTATTTTTTTTCTAATTTCTCAAGCTGTGCAGTTAGGTTATTATAAACAAAGCAAAATAAAAATTAAACTAATATATACTAACAACAGAACTATGATATCTGAGGGGACTAGGGTAGGGATGAAAGGAAAAGTGAAGGGGTGTTAGAAAGTGTGGAGGGGCTTTGTTTGTAAAAAATGAAACCAGGGTTATGAAGATAGTTCTAAGGGCTAGTGTGCATAATCTGCATACATAAGGTCTGAATTTGATCCCTTGTACTGTAAATAATCCCAAACATCTGTGGCAGTAATCGTTAAGCACCATGCCCTTGACTACCACTGGGTGTGGCCCCAAACCCCCAAACATATAAAAAAGAGAAATACCCAATCTCCCCAATTTTCTTGCCCACTAAACCAACAAGGACATGAAAATGAAGTTTGGCTATAAGGGAAGCATAGTAATTAAGTATATCGAGCATAATGAGGTTTGCAGGTACTGAAAACATGCAGTAATCATCTAGGAAACTAGGATGAGCTATACTATTTACTTCTGAAATACATCTTACCCTTAATGCTTCCCTAGGAGTGAATCTTGGCTTTCCTTTAATACAATTATTAATGGATTAACATGGTTAAAGTTAAAACTTATATTAATGGATTAATATGGTTAAAGTTAAAATTTATATTAAGTGCTTAACTTTGTAGACTTAGGTGAAAAATCTGTACCTGAAGAGTTACTTTTTGGTTTCTTAATTGTTTAGAACATAAGGACAGGAGATTGGGAACCACATCCAAATGACTGGAGGAGCAATAGGTTTATCCTGAAGAATTACATTTTCTAGAGTATGGTTCTGATAAGTTTTGAAGGGAATATGTAAGGGTGGAGCAGGTCTCAAATATTTGATTACCTGAAAGCTTAAGTCCTCGCTCCCCTACTTGGGTGTCATACCCATGTGGCATTCGAAGAATTGCATCATGGAGTCCAGCTAATTTTGCCACTGCATACACTTCCTCAGCCGAAGCAGAGATATTTCCATACAAGAGGTTGTAGTAAATGGTATTATGGAAAAGGACAGCATCCTGGATTTATAAAAACACACAAGAGTGTTATATATTCATATACACACACTGCCACAATGTCCTCCCGTTGTTCATCGATTTGCTCGAGTGGGCCCAGTGACATCTCCATCGTGAGACTTGTTGTTACTGTGTTTGACATATTGAATACATCACGGGTAGCTTGCCAGGCTTTGCCGTGTGGGTGAGATACTCTCGGTAGCTTGCCGGGCTCTCCAAGAGGGGTGGAGAAATCGAACCCGGCTCGGCTGGGCTGGCTGCGCACAAGGCAAACGCCCTACCATTGTGCTATCGCTTCAGCCCATTCATATACATACACATATATATCTATATATATAATATGTATGCTTATTAAAAACGTTAGATGCAGAAACATATAAGCATATAAAATAAAATATCATAACTCTCTTTATTATCCCCTCAACCCTGCAATCCCATTTTCTTTCCCAAAACTAATCATTACTTGTTGTTTAATGGTACAGTCTTTTGGGAATAATTTATATGTCTAAAAGCAGGTTCTGTGGTCAGCAGGTAGGACATTTGCCCTGCTCATGGCCAACCTGGGTTAGATCCCCAATCCCATGGGGAGTGATCCATGAGGGCAGGGCTAGGACTAGGTCCTTGGCACATATGGCAATTAAACACCAAATATACTGAGATACACTTGAAATATTTTTTGTTGGATATTTACATTATTTCCAACTTCTGTAAACAAAAAAATGTAAGATGATCTACTTGAATATAAAAATGGACATTTATATTTATTTCCTTATTAAAAATTTCTAGAGGCAGAATTACTAGAATATAGACCATGAATATTTTTCAGACTCTTTAGTACGTCAATTTGCTCTCCAGATAAACTGTGTACTTGCATCAGTAAAAAGATGAGTTAGCCTTACAGAGCCTAGCCCAAACAGGAGAGCAATAACTTCAACATCCAAGCTAATCATATTGGTGAAAAATGTTATTCCACTTTTGGATTAATTAACTGCTAAGACCACTGATGAAGATGAACATTTTTTTTAATTTAGTGAGTAAATTTTGATTTTCCAAAAGTAATTCAGTTCACTTAAGTATATGGTTTAGTTTACTCAACTTAGAACTATATGTTATCTTTACCATAACCACTCAGAAAGCATATTTTTAAAAAAAAAACAGGCAGTTTTCTGGACCCATAGTATCCTAAGATATAAAGTGTATTGAAGATTTAAAATTTCAATACCCTACTTAGATTAACTTTTGTACATTAGCATTTGACTTTCTCAATAAAAGGAAAAATAATGGGACTAGAGAAATAGTACAGCAGGAAGGGCGTTTGCTTTGCACACAACCAACATGGATTAGAGCCCTGGCATTCCATATAGTCCCTGGAGTGCAGCCAAGAGATATTCCTGAGTGCAGAGCCAAGAGTAACTCTGGACATCACCAGGTGTGGCCGAAAAACAAAAACAAAAGAATCACAAAATAAAAAAGAAAGAAAAAGGCAGACAGCCGTATGTCAGGCACTTAGAGACCGTCTTATGAGTTATCCACCCTGGTCTGATTGCCTCCAAGAATTCATGAGTCTAGGAATCAATGTTATATTAAGTATTAGCCAGAACTAATCCTTATGTCTCTCTATAGGTTTGTATTAAAAGAAAACCTAATATTCTAGAAAGCTATCTCCTTGTCTTCTCAGATCTTATTGTGAATTTCTATTCTCCTCTGAAGCCATTCAGAAAATACTTGTTAAATACTTGTGATGAATAAGGGGCTCAGTTTGGTAGGAGGGGACAGTAGAGAACAAAGTTTATAAAATTGCAGTTGTTTAACTGCTTTATAATCTTTATAAATTTACTAAAACTTCAAAATGACAATAATATTTTTATTTACTGAACAACGGTTTGATGGACAATGTGCTTAGTGCTTCAGAATATTACCTCTTAATAGTTGAACCTTTTAAGAGAAATATTTAGATTATTTTACAGGGGAGACCACAGAAGTTGCAAATATTACAAACAGACTGGTTTAGAATCCATTCTATTTCATTTAAGTCTGTGCTCTTTCCTCTGTTATTCTTCTAAAGCTTATAAATCTTTTCATCTTGTAGATTCTCCATACACGCTTATTTAGACCTTTTGGTAACAAAATTTGACTGGTAGGGTCTAACATTTCCTACTTCATTGACATATATCCACTATTCAGACTCAAATCATTATAGTAAAGACTTATAAACCCGATAAAAAATCACCCCCAAATTTTTTTCCTTTTGACAAATACCTGAGGTACCACTCCCACTGCTCTCCGAAGGCTTTCAAGGCTCACATCTTGTATATTTTGACCAGCAAGGTAAATATTCCCTTTATGAGGCTCATAGAAGCGAAATAAAAGCCTCACTATTGTGCTTTTTCTGAAATTGAAGACAAGGAAAGATTATTAAACTTCTGGTATTATAGAATCCCTGTTGTAAACCACAGTGAAGATTTTTTTTATGAAAAAGAAAACATTACATCAGGAATACGTAGATCAATGATGCAGAATTTTATAAATATCTGAATTACCCACCCTGATCCACTACCTCCTACAATGGCCACTTTCTTTCCTGCAGGGACTTCAAAAGATATTCCATTAAGGACTTTCTGTCCCTCAATGTATTCAAAATGCACATTATCAAATGCAACTGTAGCTGTCTGTGGTGTGATCTGAAGGGGACATGCCATCATTTTGTCCTAGCAGGAAAAGGAAAAAAAAGTCACTTTAAACACTGGCTTAGAATATAACTAAACAGAAAATATTCTAAATCACAAAGAGAAACAGGAAAATAACAGGTAAGGAAGAGGTTTACAAGTGGAATTAGACTACTTCGAAGCATGCTTTTAAGGATTTGCTCTTCACACCTCACCAGTAAGGTCAAAAACCCTGAATGCTTTCATTTCTGAGCAATATGTATGTGTGAGTAGTAGGGGAAGGAGTACACAGTGATGATGGCTTAAGTGTAAAGAGATCAAGGATGTGATGAAAGGCTACTGCACATTTTCTTTCATTAGAAAAGTAAACCAAGTGCAATTACAAATAATTTAGCAAACCTTAGCTTCCAGGTATAATCTTAACTAATGTTATATCTACAGAGAATTAAAATCTTTAATATTCTCTAAAATATAGAAAGTGGTTCCAATTTGTGCCCATCAAAATGGTTTTGCTAACACAGTCCTATAAATACCTCTAAAATAATCCTAATAATAGAAGATGTTAAAATGCCTTTGAACAGGTATTACATGGAATACTTACTTTAATTCGAGTGTCCACCTTGAGTAGAGTAAACAAAGTGTTCATATCAATGAGCGCTTGTCTTGTTTCTCTATATACAGTTCCCAGAAAATTAAGAGGTAATGAAAGCTGAAAAAGCAGTCCATTCACCATTACTAGATCTCCAACAGTAAGTGTACCTTAATATGCAGTTCACAGAAGGAAAAATAAGTATTTTAGATAAACTTCAAATGAATTAAATTTTAAATAAACTTTCTAGTTCAAAATAGAAATTTATCATTGATTGCAATACAGTTCAAAACATGCAAAATCAGCAACTAGTAGGCCCACTAAAATTTCAAACCATTTTAACGTATGATATAATAATATATGGAACATGATAAAAACTAAGTGGAAGAGGAAAAGTATACTCATACTAAATAAAATAATTACATATGTATATAAATAATGGTGTAAGAGGCTAGAAAGAGAAGGATAAATAGCAATCATTTCTTGAGATATTAGCAAGTTTCCTTGTAAAAAAACAGAAAATTACAAAAAAGGTTTATCATGCAAGGGAATGATAAATCACACATTAAGGCCACAACTGAATGAATGAACCTAACTATGTGGGCAAGTTACAGAAGAGATATAAAGATTATTTATTTTTGAACTATTCTGAAAATGAAAATTGAATAGGTTAAAAGGTTAGCAGCACTTCTAAAATGCTGCTTGCATTTTACACCTTTGAAATAAACACTAAGTTATTGCATTGTTTTTTCAGTTCACTGGAGAAATTAGAAATATTAGGTGCTTAAAAATGTTACTCCCAGGGCTGGACCGATAGCACAGCGGGTAGGGCGTTTGCCTCGCACACGGCCGACCCAGGTTCGATTCCCAGCATCCCATATGGTCCCCTGAGCACCGCCAGGAGTAACTCCTGAGTGCAGAGCCAGGAGTAAACCATGTGCATCGCCGGGTGTGACCCAAAAAAGCAAAAAAAAAAAAAAATGTTACTCCCAGGGACAGAGAAACGGTACATCAGAAAAGGCTCTTGCCTCGCACGCAGCTGAATCCAAGTTCAATCCGTGGCACTGCATATGGTCCCCTGACCACAGCCCAGGAGTGATTCCTGAGCATAAAGCCAGGAGTAAGTCCTGGTGCACAGCTGGGTGTGAATTCCCCCAAAAAACAAAAATAAAAAATGCTACTCCTGAAGAAACCCAAGTTATAGTGCCACAAAATATATTAAGAGTAATGCCAATCTAGTGCTAAATGTGTAATAATAATAAAAAAGGAATAATAAAAAAGTAAATAATAAAAAAGTAAATAGCACCAACCAAGAAAAAATTTTAAACTGAATACTTGTAATACAAAAATGAAAGTACTCTAGGATTTTTAAGTATCCATATTCAATATGCTTTTACATTTAAAACTAATACATACATTTCTTTTGACCAATCTTTAGTAACAAGGGTTAAGTAAAAGATCTAAAATTCTGAAAATTACAGATTCATTACCTGCCACAATTCCCTGACTGGCAAGTACCATTATAGCAGTTAAACCAACACTGAAAATGGCACTTTGACCAAAGTTCAGCATGGCCAGAGTAGAGGTACTTTTCAGTGAAGCAGCCTCATATGTCTTCAAAAATCCATCATATCTTTGTGCTTCATAGTTTTCATTGTTAAAATACTACAAAATATACAAAAATAGTAACTACAAACAAGTAAGGTTAGAATTTTTTTCTCTAAAGCTATGACTGAAGTATAATATTAGATTTCATATATAAAGTTTGTACTGCATATTTTACTTTAAAGTTGACTTGTACTATGGTATTCTTATAGCTTTCCAGAATAAACTCTGGAATCACTCCTGCATCATTTATTTGGAAAGTTTAGAAAATTAGTCTTGTAGGCATTTACTAAATGTCTAGTTAATTTAAAATCAAATCAGAAAAAGCCATTAATGGCACATCTTCAGAATTTCCCTGGTCTCTGAGAGATTCAGTTAACAATTTTCATTTCCCCCTATGCCATATACTAACTTTACTTTTTAAATTTTAAAATTCTGGGAGGAAAAAGAATAAACATTAACAATTCACTTTACCATCACCACATATAACATTTGTTATAGTATATTACATATAGAAATGTTTGTCAATATTTGTCAAATGGAAAAATAACAAATAAATTAATAAAATGCATTATTCTAGTCACTCTGAGGGTATGAGTTAAGAATTTACATGCCATTTTGTTTAGCTCAGTGTTCATAAATACTCTTACCACTTATAAATTAGTTTATAAAGTAAAATTCTGATGCTGCCATCAAATATAAAGGGTAAGTTCTCAACAAAATAAAAATGAAATACTATTATGCCATCACACCTAGAGAATCTAGTGTGAAATCTAGACTATCCTAAAGTTCTAACTCATAGCACCAATTAATTAAATGACAGAAAAAAATCTTAGTGCAGTATGAAAGGTAGAAGAATGTATAATTAAACATATTACCTTCACAGTTTCATAATTCAGCAGTGAATCTATGGCTGCATTACCTGCATCATTATCTGCTTTGTTCATTTCTATTCTAAACCTTGTTCTGTAAGACAAAAATACGTATAGGTATGAAATATATGCAGTAAAAGCACAACTAACTTCTGAATATTTAAGGGCCTTTGAGACTGCCTTACCTCCACCGTGTAACTGCAACTGTAAATGCAGTATATGCCCCAAGTGTCCCAAGAGTCACCAATGCAAACTGGGCACCACATTTGTAGTACTGGAAAGGCAAATGAAGAAATGAGAAAGCATTTGTTGTCCTTTACAAATACATACACATTAACAAATCTCAGTGAAAAGGTTTTAATAAAAACATGTTGGTACCAAAATGTATAAATAAATAGGTAAAATATTAATACCTTAGAAAATCTACTTAAGGTAATAAGAAATCTAACCACTTATCACATTGACAGCAATACTATTACTGCCAACTACTACTACTTTTGTGCAATAAGATATAAAAATAATATATGTAAATTTTAATTGTAAAATATGAAATTCCCAAAATTTTCTGATGTTTGGCTACAAACCTAGATACTCTGAGCATACCAGTCCAATGTCAAACACAAAAATTTATGCTAACAAAAAGTGCAAGCATTAGTTAAATGTTTAGAACTAAAGAGCTCTTTACAATAAAATGATAAAACTTTGGACAGTTGCCTGAAACTTATAAAAAATAATTAAGCAAACTGCATAATATTTCTGCAACCAAAGAATTTTGCTTTCAAATTAGAGATGTGTAACAGTGCAACAGTTTTAAGTACTAAATACTACTAATGAAATGTTAGATAAAAACTTGATTAAAAAGTATTTTACTTACCAAAACACCACTGACAAGAGTCACTTCAAACATGATGGGAAGAAGATTAAATACTAAAGCACTAAGGACAAAACTGATACCCCTTGTCCCTCTGTCAATAGCCTTCGATAAAGCTCCGGTCTGTCTGCTCAGGTGGAAAGCCAGATCCAGATTGTGAAGATGAAGAAACACATTTCTGGCTATTCTTCGAATTGAATTTTGGGCTACCTTGCCAAATACTGCATTTCGAACTTCATTAAAAAAGGAAGCTCCAGCTCTTGATACACCATCTAACAACACAAGTTTTAAAACGGAATATGAGAACATTACAATCACAAGAAAGTAAAAAAGAGGTCGAAAAATGTTTTGTACAATAAATGAATGTATCACAGACTGCTTGCCCCCCCCCCGCAAAAAAAATTTAGAAAGCATCTAGCCTGATGAGTATCAATTTTTGCACCACCATAAATCTTTTTCAGTGCTACGTTTCTCCGCAAGTCAAAAATGTTGAAAGATTTATTTTCAACTAAATACTGTAAAAGTAGTCCATATGGCCTTATGGTAAATAACTGCACACTGTTGGTTCTTTAAATCTAATTCAATTTCCCCCAAATAACAAATGATAAAATTGAGATCCTAAAAATTCAAGTACCTTGACAAAAGCATTTTCCCATTCAAGGCTCCAGAGTCTCATAAAGTGACCTTTCTATTACCAGGAACATAAAATATCATAATCTTGTCATCACAATGTACAGATTTTTTAAATAAAAAGAAAACAAAGAATTACAGATTTTTGCCATGGCTACTGAACATGACTGAATAAAACATTAATGCATATAAATTGTTATATAGCCATTTCCCATTTAACAGCTACCAACAATAAAATGAAAATAACTAGTATTACTGAATTGGTATCATAATGATAAAATATAAGGAGACTATTAGATATGGCTGTTATCAATTTAATGCCTTATTTCATGTTATTTTATAAAACTTTAAAATGAGACTAATTTTATATCATATCTGGAAAGTATATCATAGGATTCATTTATTTAAAAAGCCCACATGTCAAAAACAATCTCATATAAAATGATAAATATACAAAATGCTAAGCCATGTTTGTGGTGAAAAGGTCATCTGCTCAAAAATAATTAAACCCTATAGTCAACACCTGTAGATAGATTAAAGAATCGTACATACAGCCAATCAGGACTGCTGTTGCCATGGTTGCAACTGTATTTGGTGCATCACTCAGATCCAGCATATTTCCCGACATCTGGTTGAGGCTGTCTACAGCATATTTAAACATGAAAGGAACCACAATATTCAAGGCCTAAAAACAAAACCAGCAATTATCAACCATATATAAAATACTTATCACAGAAGAACAAATATTTATCTTAAATTACTATTTATAGGAATATTTAGATATTATCTTTTGAATAGTATTAGAATAATTGTTCTCAGTATTTAAAATTTCACAATTAAAACTATTTGGCATGTGGAAAGCCATCATTACGGGATTCCTACCTCACAATGACTGCAATATTAATATTCATTTATAATTCATGGGCATTAGTCAGATGCTCCTGCCTCCAGAAAATCATCCCTGATCATACATTTAAAAGTACTTTCTCCATTAAGGCAATACCATAGAGCTCACGGCATTTACGGAAAACTGCTTAGAGCTATTTGTGTATGTATTTTTTCTTTCTGACTAGCTACTTGAGGTTTTGCATCACATTTTTTGGTTTGTCAATATTGAGGACAATGCACTGTATACAGTAGATATCTAATAAATTATGCAAAATAATTTGTAAACCAAAAATGTATTAGGCATTAAAAACAGCAAAAAGAATCTCCAAAGCAGATAAATTACCATTATATGTGGTTGATTAATTACTGGGGGAAATACCCAACACTGAAAGATCTATTTGCCCCACCAAAAATTCTTTTTCTCCAACATCACACAAAGAAAAACCCACTGAATATCAAATTAAGTTTGCAATAGCTAACCTAAATCACCAGAAGAATATACCAAAAATATGAAAAATAGTAAGCCAAATTTCACATTTTCTGCTAAGTTGTAATATAAAAAAACTATCATTTAATAGAAAGCTTGTTAGACAGCCAGTTTTTTCATTGAAGAAATTAAATTCGTACACATTAATATGATGTGAAAACAATTCTATAACACAGCTGAAACACCAAAACTTGTTCATTTCCATCATTATTTAATTCATATTTGTTAAACATAAAGAATTTATTGGCAACAAGCCTAAGTTTAGCTACAACTGAAAAGGAGTTATGCAAGTCCTGCAAATTAATAATACAAAATACAGACATACCTTGGAAACATTAAATATGCTGGCATTTAATAATCATATCAAAGTATATTGCAAGGGACCAGAGGAGGTCCTGCAGTAACAGGGAGGACCTGTTACTACAGGAAGTAAGGTGTTTTGCCTGGCATTCTGCTGACCCAATTTGAATACCCAGCAGTATATATGGTTCCCTCAAGCACTGCCAGGGTCACTCCTGAGCAGAGAACAGGAATAGCCCCTAAGTACCACAGGGTATGGTCCCAAACCAAAAACTAAATGTAATTTAAAATACTGTGAACGCTGGCATATAATCAGGAATGCACCACTATGGGATAAATTCTAAAAAATTTAAATTTTACTTCAGATATAAACTAATAAAAACAGAAGATTTCATATAATTTAAATTTCATTATTTCAAATCTCATATAACCATATAACCTTAGGCTCTTGCTTCTGCTTAAAGTGGTCTCCTGGACCCATCTGTCTCTCCATTTCTCCATTCTTTAAAACCCACTTTTTTTTAATCTTTTTTTTCCTTAAATTTTTATTAGTGAAACACCATGAGGTACAGTTGTAGACTTACAAATTTTTGTGCTTGGGTTTCAGTTATACAATGATTGAATACCCATCCTTCCACCAGTGCCCAGTCTCCACCACCACCAGTCCCAGAATCCCTCCCAACCCCCTCCCCCCATCCCACTCTACCACTGTGGCACAGCATTCCCTTTTGTTATCTCTCTCCTTTTGAGTGCTGTGGTTTGCAAAAGAGACATTGAGTGGCAATCTTGTTCGGACTAGTCTACTCTCATCATGCATTTCCCTTTCTGAGAGAAACCTCCCAACAACCTTTATTTGCTGCTCCCTTCTCTATCTGAGCTGCCTTTTCCCCTAGCGTGTGCGGCTGTCCTCAAAGCCATGGAGTAATCCTCCTGGTCCTTTTTCTTGGCTATTCTTGGGTGTTAGTCTCCTATTTTGTTACTTTATGTTCCCCAGATGAATGCAATCTTTCTATGTCTATCCCTCTCTTTCTGACTCATTTCGCTTAGCATGATACTTTCCATGTAGTATCACTTGTATGTAAATTTCATGACTTCATCCTTTCTGACAGCTACATAGTACTGTATTGTGTAGATGTACCAAAGCTTCTTTAACAAGTCATCTGTTCTTAGGCACTCAGGTTTTTTCCAGATTCTAGCTACTGTAAACAGTAGTGCAATGAACAGACAACTGCAGATGTCACTTCGACTATACTTTTTTGCCTCTCCGGGGTATATTCCCAGGAGTGGAATTGCTGGGTCAAATGGGAGCTCAATTTCTAGTTTTTTGAGAATTATCCATACTGTTTTCCAAAAGGGATGAACCAGTCGGCATTCCCACTAGCAGTGAAGGAGGGTCCCTTTCTTACCACATCTGCACCAGCACCGGTTGCTTTTGTTCTTTTGGATGTGGGCCAGTCTCTGTGGTGTGAAATGATATCTCATTGTTGTTTTGATCTGCATCTCCCCGATGATTAATGATATAGAGCATTTTCTCATGTGTCTTTTAGCCATTTGAATTTCATCTTTGATGAAGTTTCTGTTCATTTCGTCACCCCATCTTCTGATAGGGTTGGGTGTTTTCTTCTTGTGGAGTTCAACCAGTACTTTGTATATCCTTGATATCAGCCCCTTGTCAGATGTGTATTTGGCGAATATCCTTTCCCATTCTGTGGACTGTCTTTGTATTTTGGTCACTGTTTCTTTGGAGGTGCAGAAGCTTCTTAGTTTAAGATAGTCCCATTTATCTATCTCTGTTTTCACTTGCTTAGCCAGTGTCATGACATCTTTGAAGACACCATTAGCTTCAATGTCATGGAGGGTTTTGCCGACTTGTCTTCAATGTACCTTATGGATTCCGGTCTGATGTTGAGGTCTTTAATCCATTTTGATCTTACTTTTGTACATGGTGTTAGGTAGAGATCTGAGCCCATTTTTTTGCATGTAGCTGTGCAGTTTTGCCAGCACCATTTGTTAAAAAGACTTTCCTTACTCCACTTCACATTTTTTGTTCCTTTATCAAAGATTAAGTGATCATATGTTTGGGGAGAGATGTCAGTATATTCAACTCTGTTCCATTGGTCTGCTGTTCCGCCTTTGTTCCAGTACCACGCTGTTTTAGTTATTACTGCTTTGTAGTAGAGTTTGAAGTTAGGGAAGTTGATTACTCCCATTTTCTTTTTCCCAGAAATTGCTTTAGCTATGCGTGGGGGCTTATTGTTCCATATAAATTTCAGGAGTGTTTGCTCCAGTTCTTTGAAGAATGTCATGGGTATCCTAATAGGGATCACGTTGAATTTGTACAGTGCTTTGGGTTGTATTGCCATTTTGACAATGTTAATCCTCCCGATCCATGAACATGCGATATTTTTCCATTTCCTTGTGTCCTCTTTTATTTCCTAAAGCAGCGTTTTGTAGTTTTCTTTGTACAGGTCCTTTACTTCTTTAGTTAAGCTAATTCCTAGGTAGTTGAATTTCTGGGGCACAGTTGTGAATTGGGATTGTTTTATTCATGTCGTTTTCTTCTCTCTCACTATTAGCACATAGGAAAGCCATGGACTTTTGGGTATTAATTTTATAGCCTGCAACTTTACTATACAGATCTATTATTTCTAGGAGTTTCTTGATAGAGGTAAAACGCACTTTGAATCTTGCTACTATTACAATGTTTTTTCTCAGCTGCACAGTTCTTAGCACTTTCCATCCGCCAACACCTCGTTTTAATTGTTTATAAAACTATTTCTCAACTGGGAAACATACGGTCCCCTGTAAGGTTCCAGAATATACCAGAGGGGCAACAGGTGAAAAATCATGTAAATAGGGGCATCAAAGCACAAAAGTAGATTTCCCAGAAGCATGAGGGTGGGAGGTTAGGAGGATGCATAGGAAGAAAACAAGGTCAGACGCACAGTCGGAAATGGTTTAGAAACACTGGTTTATACTGCATTTTCCATTTTTATTATATAGTTATCATTCACACTGTCTACAAGTATATGTCTGTACTGTCTTCTCAACCTCATTGACAATCTGCTGTATGAAAATGACCATTTTTCAGTCTCTATCAGCAGAGTATGGTGCTAGGTACTTTTTATAAAGGTGGAAGTGTATTAAATAATCAATTCTACAAAAGAAGTGTTATTGCTTTAGTTGATGGATTTGGGATCCACGAGGTTTGTTATATTTGGGGTTGAAATCCCTTAATCCTTTATTTTATTAATTTCACATGCCAAAATGGGTACTCTTAAATGTACCATTTAAACCAGTTACAGCAAAAAAAGCATATATTAAATAATTTTAAAATGAGCTGAGTCCAGGTTTTCTATATAATAGAGACACTCTCACTTACATGCCAATGAACTTCCCTGAGTGTGAGGAAAAATTACAGCTACTATGCAATTCTAAAAATGAATAGCTTGATTTAAGGGTAATTGAAACGAGTTTAAAGGTATTTGTGCAGTTTTACTTTCTGAAAAATATGGTTTTGGTCAAATATAAGAGCATCATTTTAAGAATATATGCCAAACGTCCAACATTTTTACTGGCACATAGTCACCACAGTGCTAGAACATAGCTCTAACTCTATTATTAACTGCTGATGGTTACCAAGTTCCTGTTAGAAATAATTCTTTTAAAAAAAACATAATGTGGGGGAAGGGCAGGAAATGTACACTGGTGAAGGGATGGGTGCTGCAACATTTATGACTGAAGTTCTACCATCAACAACATTGTAACCATGTATCTCACTGTGATTAAATAAAAATATAAAGGGTTATAATTTGTATAGACATTATTATTTCTATATAAGTGTGAGTTTATTGGCCTCAAAATATTTTGGGAAAGAGAGGTGGGCAAATGTTTATTTTCCATAATGTTCTGTCCTCAGTAGAACTAGTCTAAAACCATCTAAGAAAAGAGTAACTTTTAAAAAATTCATTTTGAATGAATAACAAATACAATAACTACAGAAGATAATA